GAATGAATTTTACTTCTCAGTAATGGTACTTGTCTAGAGCAAAACTAGACTATAAAGACTATTTTTTATGTGCCTGACTGTGAGGGACAGTTGTGTCTTGCAGACAATCCCACTGACTTGAAGCAGATGTGGTGGTTGTTGGTGTGTGGGAACCAGCACACAACCTCTGAGCTTCTCCAGTATGAGGCCGCTGTCAATTTAAGGGTCATTCTGTGTGTATGTGTGGGTGACTAACTAGGTCAAGTATGTCCCCCTGTGCTGCAAATACATCCCAGGAATGTTTTCTTTTCTATCAACAGACGAACGGAGGACTAAACTATTCCTCTCTCTCCATCTCTCGTCTTGTCCTTCACCCTTTTTAACCCCCCTTCATTCTCCCAAAGGAGACAAAAAGATCAGCAGTGAGCTTTTGACATAATAGGAGAGATAAGAGGGATGCTACAGGCTGCAGCAATGGTGTCTCTGAGCTTCAGGTTTGTCACATTTTTGTTTGCATGCACATGTAGACATGTATGCATTAAGTACTTGGAGCGAGGCCTTTTGAGATCATGTGAACTAAGTAAAAAGCTCAGGAGGTTGCATGCCTGTTGTGTTTCCGTGAATGTCTTTGTCTTTCTACTAGTGTGTATTCATCTTACGGTTTTGGTATTTCCGTGCATGACACAGTCGAAAATGAAACCACACGTGTCCTGATAGTCAGCATGTGAACATGCTACTGCTATGAGTCACCCCCTCGGGAAAGTCCTCGCTCAAACATGGCCTACTGCCAAAACACACACAGTCACACTGAGCCATAGGATGTTTTCTTATGAATAATCTGTTTAAAAATGTTAAGTCATATGTTTTGAACAGTCTGATGCTCTGCTGCCAGTGGGCTTTCTAATTAAAGTTCAGTAAATGAAGAGCGATTTCATCTCTCTATGAATCAAAACAAACTACAGCCCTGAGTGATTATTGCAAGCTGTGAGTGCGTTAATTGAGCCATTCTGTGGAGACATGGAAAAATATTTGATCTAACTTTGTGCTGCTTTGAAGGAAAACTGACATGGGCACAGGCAGTTCTCTTGCCAACCCTACAGTATCCCCCTCTCTACTTTTACCATCACATTTATATATGTCTTTTTCTCGGGTTGTACCCTTTATTCATCAAATCAGAAATAAAGGAAGCAGGACACTTTGGGAAATATGCTTGTCTGTTTTTAGATTGACACCCATGTCTGTAAAGTAAGTATGAAGCTACACCCAGCAGCTGTATATAAACTATATAATTATTCCTTTAATTCTCTATATGTCATACATCTCTGTATACTAGAAAATACATGATACAAGACGAGGATAAAAACAGTCTCACCTTGTGTGTCTCTGTTTATTTACCCAACTGTCCCCAGGCAGCGGTCTTAGCGGCTGGGATTGTGAGATTACGAGGCGTGACATAGATGCTCCGGCATTATCAGTCCATCAGAATTAACACAGTGTACGCTCAAACGAATACCTCTGCACTCCAGCTGCTGTGGTTTCACCTCAGCTCAGCTTGTCCAATAAGGCTTGATTATTTGCATGGATGCAGCTGTTTGTTTGGCCCCGTGCAGATAAACTCAGATAGCGCGGATAGTATTTACCATGGGAAATGTGTGTGTGCTGGTAGATGTTCTGTAATACTATGAGATTCTGTGTGTGAAAGAGATGCTGCTTATATAACAACGATATATCATAGAAAGTTATGTTGACTTCCTCTTTAAATGGTAATAAAACCTTGCAGCTGTCAGGGTAAGAACAGCTAGGACAAGCCAATACCTCATTACTCAAGCTCTTTATATTTGTGAGCATTAAGCATGGGTATGTCAATAATGTGTCTGTTAGACATTAGTAGATGGTCGTCGTTCAGAGCCCAGTCAGCAACAATACACCAAGTGCTAGATGATATCAGAAAGCTGTTAGTGTGACCATAATGGAAACGTCTGAGAACATGGAGGGAGGAATTTCTATGCTTTTTATGCATGGTTCCCTTTGTCCTGTCACAGAGGTCTGTGTTGTTCTTCTTTCTGTCAAAGAATTGTGTGTACTTTGTTTTAAGTAGCATACACAGATTAGACTGACAAAGCTTTATTGTCCTTTAAGGCTGGTGATACAGAATAGGTCATTGGCAGCACCACCAGTGGCTGTAATCTTTGTTCTTGCATTGATTTTATCAGCCTGTGGGATTAATTTGCTTTAGTACTTCCGCAAACTTACTGTGTGTTGCCTGAGTATGTGATCATCATCCTGTTGTTGAAGGCATAATCTGTAATCCAGATGTTTTGATTGATTGATTGATTGATTGATTTTATTCTTTCAAGCATGTAAAGACAGTTGATATGTCAACACACATAATTTTACACATATCCAACAAATGCTAATCCAATATCAATTTGCTTATACCTAGTACATGCTTGAATGGAGTAGGAAGAAGTCAGACTTATCCAGTCCTACCCCATGACATCATCTTACATCATTGGTTTGCAAGCAGTAACTCTACATAAATAATTCTCTTCTACACCACACAAGTAATATACTAAAAAAATATAACAGTGTTAACATTCTTACATAATTACAT